TGGCGGTTATCTCGGGCAGGTCGTCGAGGAGTTGGCGAGCCGCAGAAAAGAAGAGTACTGGAGACACCATGTTGTCTTTCCAATACAATGGGCCAAGCTCCATTTTGGAATCGGCAAGCTTGCCATACAGGGAGGAGTAGAATGGACACTTCCAACCTTTGGTGCCAGTATGGTATGGTTTCATCATCTCCTCGTATTTGGTGGCGACTGGGCTCATCTGGGCTGTGACTTTGTTAGTTTGCGCCTCTGACCAGATTCATCAGCTATTCTTACGGGAATGATACGCAACCTGGACTTTGAGCTTTCGCATAAACGTGTCCTTGTTTACGGCCTCTATATTCTCCATAGTCTTGCGTACGGCTTCAGAATTGCCCGATATGCTCACACTCTTGGGGCTGTTCTCGCACGCAATTTGCGCACCATCTACGAGATGAGGCGTCACATGGTCCCGTCCCAGCCCAATGGCAGCCATACTCCCGTCAGACTGTAGTTTGGTGGTTACGAGGCCACGAAAGTAAGAGCACAGAATGGCCTCAGAATAGTCGATTGCTCCGGCTGCGTAAGCAGCGGCGATCTCGCCACTCGAGTGCCCGACAACCGCACTTGGCTTGATGCCACATTTGCTCAGGAAATTTACCAAGGCAACCTGGATGGCGGTACAAAGAGGCTGCGCAAGTTCAGCAATGTGACAGGACAGTGTTTCTGCTTCATCGTCACGGCATAAAACATCTATTGCAAGTCAGCTTCGTCAGTCTCGAACACGTCTAATCATGACATTGGAACGAATTTACCTTCCAATGTCCATTTTGGTGCCGTAGGTAACGACTGCAAAACCTTGTCCATATTTCGTATGTCCTCGCGGAACGTCGCCGAGGAGTGAACGAGTTCCCTTCCCATGCCCGGCCACTGCGCGCCCTGGCCGGTAAAGACAAAGGCAACCTTGATCTCTTTTTCTCGTCCGGTAATAATCTTTTTTCCGACGCTGAATTGCAGTGACTGATGAATGGCGTTGTGATGAATAGCAAACGCTCTATGAGACATGTGTGCTGCCCGCATCCCAAGAGTGTAGGCGATATCATTTATTGCAGACGGCGAGTTTGTCATGTAAGCCTCAAACGCGGCAATTCGTCTCTTGATGGACTCTTCGCTACGCGCAGAAAGGACAACGATGCGCGGGAACTCCTAGAAATCGTTGATATCTGACATAGACAATATGCATGGGATGCAATCTCCGGCAACGTACCTCTGGGACAGCAGAGTCGTAGTCAGAGCTTTGGGACGAGATGCTGGCAGGTAGGCTAAGGCTCAAAAAATCTTCGTCCGAGTGCGAGAGCCCATGTTCGAGGCTATCGCTGTCCGAGCTGCTGTACCGTTGACGAGCAGCGCCGCAGTAGGCCGCAAATGAAGCAGCGGAATCGAGAATAACCTGAAAGAGGTTCAATAACTCAGCAGCAAGACTCGTGAATCACTTGGAACGAATGACTTACATGCCCGTTGGCACCGCCAAATCCGAAGGAATTGATGCTGATTCTCTGGCACCGGTCCTCCGGCCAAGGAACAGGATCCACCGGCACTTGAAGATTGTACTCTTCAAAAGGAACTATTTTGTCACAATGTTAAAAGGAAACGAATGACAAGGTACTGGTGTATTCCCAACTTACTTCTTGGGTTTGGTGTGACGAAATTGACATTAGGTGGTATCGTCTTATTCTCCAGTGCCAGGACACATTTGATGACGCTTGTCAGGGCTGCTGCTCCCTCTCCATGGCCCAAATTTGGCTTGACCTACAATGAAGGCTGTCAGAAGGCATTATCTGTCATGCATCTTACTTTACTCACAGAGCCGATGTAGGTCCCCCGGGTGCCAAAAGCCTTTCCCACGGCCGTCGTTTCTATTGGATCACCCTTCATGGTACCCGTGCCATGGCATTCCACAAATGGCGTCTTGGAGAGATCGCCGATACCTGCCGATTGATAGGCTCGCAATATCAAAGAACGTTGCGCCTCGGTGCTGGGCGTGCCCACATGCGGTGTTTTGCCGTCCGAGTTGACGGCCGTGGAGCGAATAATAGCGCGAATCGGGTCACCATCCCGGATGGCCGCTTCTAGGGGCTTGATTAGTATAGCATTAACTGCTTCTGCGCGCGCAAAGCCGTCTGCGAGGGTATCGAATGTTTTGCATCGACCATCCGGGGCAAGGATACCCAGTGCCGACATGTCCAAGGTCATGGACGGGTCCATGATGAGACTCGAACCCAACACCATCGCCGTCGAGCAGTCGCCGCTGTTGAGAGACTGGCAAGCAATGTGAAGTCCTGAAAGGGAAGACGAACAGGCCGTTCGTATTGTCATGCTAACACATGAAATGAAAGGTCAGTTATTACCCCCAGTCGGTACAACTCGCGGCACTCGTCGACTTGCCTCGGACCCCTGAGGTCATACTGACGGGACAGCATGTTGGATAGCGCGTAATCGCCCGCACTCAGCACTCTATGTGTGTTGGGCATTAGGTCGTCTCGATGCAGCATATTGTGCCAGTCTTCCCCAAAAACACCGACAAAGACGCCAGTGTCGGATCCAACAAGCTTGTGCGTCTGGCCCGCGCTCTCCATACACTCCCAGGCAACTTCCAACAGCAGCCTCAATTGAGGATCCAGCACGGTCGCATCGGCCGGCTTCATGTAGAAGAAGGACGGGTCAATGTTGGAAAGCTCCGTCTGCAGAAAGTAGCCATACTCTGTGGCAAGGAACTGGGTCTGCGTTTTGCCGCCGCTGAAGCCGTCAACATTGTACCGCGTCGCTGGAACCCTACATCTACCGTTCTTCTTGTTTATTAGGAGATCCCAGTACTGGGCGTCTGTTGAGATGCCACCTGGGAGACGAAACCCCATGCCAATAATGGCTACCGGTTTGGCGGAATCTGGCGTTGCGTCCATGTTGCCCAGTGAGATTAGTAATATCAATTGTATTCTAGCTAGATGGCTCGAAAGTATAAGCAAGAAGTGAAGAGGCTGTAAATTGAAGCCATGTATCCTAAGACATTTGATAAAAAAAAAGCAGACCTGGGATACGTACTACTTATCCTACGGAAAATACACCGAGGCTATTTGGGCGACTTATTCCGCGTGCTCATGGCCCCCTACATGCTATCCTCATCCTATCCCTCATCCAATGCTTCGTACTCATTGCATGGCAAGAGTCAAATGCCGTCTTAAACAGCGCTTGCGACAGGCATGCGGCGAGCAGACCAGCATAGTAGTTCAGATGGACAAACAGGCCGAGACCATCTTGGTTTAATTTTACAGCATGCGGTGTTGACACATACTTGGCAGTACAAGGGAAACAAGACGCGTCTTGGGACAGGTTCATCGGCGTTAAGGTCTCAGATTCGTGCCGAGTATGGCACACACGGGTAATCAGAACAGGCTTGCGCACCAATGTATACACGGGATATCTAATTCCACAAAAGAAGTTAACAGGGCTCATTTTGGCACAACACCAGCGTTAGGCAAAAAGTTGTCATGTCTACAAGAATGGCCTCCAAAAAATGAAATTGATCATGCCAACAGCGCAAGATACTTGTCTTGCAGGAATAGTCGAACGGAGGCCGCCTGACGTACATATATGTATTCTTTGAGCATTCTTGTCCGGCACAGGGGGCCACAGCGATGTGTGCAGCACTTGCCTCGTCAATTGCGAGCTCAATATGGAGGATCAAGACATGCATCTCCCTGCCGGGGGGGGAGATGATGAGTATATATAGCTTATGGACAGGACGCTAGGTCTGCTATGTAGAGCACGGAGGGTTCATGGTGGCAGATATTGAAATTGTAAATTGATAGTTGGTTTTTTTACCATATTATATAAACGCGTTGCATATCAAATAAACAAAAGTCCTTGACTTGGCATACAAATTTCATCCATTTAGCGCGAGTAAATCTCTGCATAATGTCTTAAGTTGACAGAAGTACGGGGTGGATGCTGTGACAAAAGGCTTCTTGACAATCAAATGGGTATGGACGAACTAGCCCAGTAGATTTATTATTATCTGTACCTGCTCTTGTTTTTTCAACTGGTCTATTTCATTTCCTGTTTTTTTTCCCCTATTGTATAGCTCGCATATAAATTCTCCGCGCATTATATGTTTCTCCAACGTGTAGGGTATCGTATCCCCATCTCTGAATTTGTTACTCGCAATAGCCTTGCCACGTCATAAAGAGCCACGAATTGTTCCTTTCTTTCAAATGCCTGCTCTCTCATGGCCCCCTCTCAATCTCATATGATCTCCCAAGCGTCTTAACTAACATCAACTTGGACCCTCGCTCCTTTCCTGCCTCTGTTTTGCGTAGCCAATGGTTGATCATGATGACAGCTGACATCCATTCAACTTGGTCATCTCCATTGACAAGCAAGATCGCCCGACTCTCCAAAGCCGATCCTCATATGGCGTAGACTCGAGGACACGTTCCGTTATTCAATTCCGCATTCGTTCGTTTGGAATGGTCGAGTTGCTTCTGGATTGTGAAAGTTAAAACAGCCAACCAAGACTGCAAAACAGGAGTCAACCATACACCCAACACCGTGATCTGTGATTGGGGCTCGGCCTGGCATCGGATCAGCTGGGTAGACTATTCAATATCCGGCGCCTCAACGAATTCGTCACATACCGCAATCTCCCTTGGGAACTAGAGGAATGATGGCGACGAGTACACGGCGATACTCGGTCACATTTTGCGAGGCTGGTTTGGTTCAACCAGTCTCAGGCAAATCTTGAAACAGCGACTCCTATTGGGCATTATTTGACGTGGCGTCTCTCGTGACTAGTAGCAGCGGTTGAGCATAATTCGCCATCTGACATATACAAGTCGAGACACGGCACCAAGCATAAGAAGCCCTCCCTCCTCCCGTGAAGTTTACCCACCACATCATTTTACAGCATCTTATTCTTCTCATATTTTCCCTACATTTAATAAATATTCTCCCGTCCATATACAGTCACCATGAAGATCACAAGCATTGTCAGTGTCCTATTCACCTTCGCCGTCGCCAGTTTGGCGGAGACCTCATCACCCATTGAATCCCTAAAAACCATTCATGAAGCGGTTTCAGCTTATCATGATAGTCTGACGAAGTGGGATGGTAGCGCCAAGGGCGGCCTTGAATTATGGCAGAAGTCCAATGGCTTCGTTGCCACGCTTAAGGCAGTTAATTTCGACGAGCAGGCGTCCAAGAGGGACATCTTAACGCGTGAAGAACACGAGCAGCTGGAACAAGAAGGCTTTGAGATTGCTCACGCGCTTACTATAAAGGTTAAGGCCGCAATGGATACTGCCATTGCCAGGAAGAGCGACATGGAGGCGGTGCCTATCTTTGGTAAGCGCATGCCCTTACAGCGTATACAAGACATACAGCGCGAAGCTTCGCGCCTATCAGACGCGCTTGCTCCAACAGCTAGCCGATCCCGTCAAGGAGAGGCTCAGGAGATTAGAATGCAGATTGAGGGCGAACTCCAGAGGGGCTATGAAGCTTTTAAGAACTAAGCGCCGGTGACGCATACGGCAGTTGCAGCTTGGATGGCGCATCAGAAAACAGCAGACGGCTAAATTGCAAAAGTTCAAGATTAAGTATAAAGAACTTCTATTTAAACTAGATAAATTATAAATAAAACTTAAACATATAAAGGGCTTTTTGCTTTGTGGTGAGAAATGGTTTAGTATAGGCAAGGGAATCGTCTATTATCGAGGAATGACGCGGTATAGGAGGAATTAATGGGGCTAGAAGTAGTGCAAGTATTTGGTGGTATACAATGCAGAAAATGTTGAATAATTTATTTTATTTTATTCCATGTCTTGAATAGTCGTGCTTTGTGACAGTCGTGGTCCTTGTTTATGTGGTGGTGGCTGTAGGACTGGCCGACTTGCTGGTGGTTGAAGAAGCCAGGTGCGTCACGGACTCTTATCTGTCATGGTCCTCCTCTTCATGCTCTATCAGGTTTACTTTGGGAGTCTGGAATTTCCGATCAAAGCAGCCCAAGTATACTAGCGGGAGATATCCACATCAAACTTATACAGCCCTATTCGGATACCGCCCAAGACATGTGTCAGTAGCTCGGAATGCCCGGCTCGGCATAGTATCCCTTGATAAGCTAATACTTTGTCTTAAAGGTTTATACACTTGTAATTTTACCTTTGTTATTATGCGTTATCGAGCTCTGTTAGGTTACCAAGTACCGCAGGCATCCCGTTCAAGTCCAACCGGAGGCGCCTGGAGTTCTTATCCTACACATGCCAATAGCTCCAACTAGCTGAGCCCGAACGTATCGGCTCCAAGCCCCCTACGACGTTTTCGTTTGTGTGCAGACCGAGGACCTAGCACCAGAAGCGAAGTTGACGATGAGCAGTGATGCATATCCTCTAAAGTTTCGGAACAACCGAGGAGCAAACAACGGCCGCTTGGAAATGCCGGAGAAGTCCGACACCGCCGTGAGGATAAGAATCACGCCACCAGTCACGATAAGTGCAATCACCTTTGCACTATTCCGCGGAACGCCGCTTCCAGGCCATCCTAGCCCGAGAAAAAGGAGACTTATGCTTGCCGTGTACATGAACAGGCCAACGTAGTCTAGTTCCAGCAAGATGTCTTTCTTTGTGCGATCAATATAGACTTGGCGTGGCGGGTGGTAGGCAAAAACTGTGCCAACAAGAGCCACGGTGCCCGAGATGTCGCCGAGGATCATATTAGAGCTTATGACCACAATAGAGACCCTGATAGGGTCGGCTTAACTTATCATCATGGACGCAGGAACTATGTAGGGTGCGACTGTTCGTCGACGAGGCGGCGACGAATATGTTGAGGGGAAAGTTTATGCCTGACGTGAGCGACAGCCCGAGAAAGAAGACTGCAGCCCAGGTCTGGAAGCTAATGGTGGTATTCCCAGACGCATCGTCAAGCGCCGCATGATAAGGATCTCCATGGTCATGGTAGATTTGGGAATTGAGCACCTCCCTTTCGACCTTGCCTTGTGTAATAATAGTGTCGTTGACTTGGCCCATTGTATGTGTGCATGAATACTTGGGTCGCGAGAAAAAATTATGTTAAATTCACCATTTATCTATACATTTACAAGTGAGGCCTGGTTCTTATATACTTGCTAGTTGTACAATACAACCCCTGAATTATTAACAAAAAGATACTTAGCCCCGCTTCCTCCCGCAATTTATATCCGTGTCATTTAACAGGTATTATATTCTGGGCCTACTAGGCCTGATAGGCAGGCACAGGTAGATTAGCAGGGGATCAGGCGCTACTAAAAGGGGCTTTTTTAATATAGAATTTACCTCTATATTTACACTCTAACCCCTGTATAATTAACCACCCGTGACCTCGCAGGGGGGATTTAACTAATAAAACGTTAAAAGGTAAGGAAAATAAATACTTAAATTTTAAGGGAAAAAATAAAAAGGCTCATATATTCTTATTAATCCCTGCTATATTAATTACAATTACTTATAATTAGTAACCAGATCGCCGATACAGCCAGGGGACCTTGCTCTATTAACCTTGTCAGATCACGGGTGGTTAATTATACAGGGGCTGGAGTGTATGTATGTACCTATTTGTAATTTAATATGGGCTACTTAACATTTAATTGGTTTAACCTACCCATGTCAGGCATCTGCGTGACAATAATTCAGGGGTTGTATTGTAGTGCTACCATTCAGCAAAGAGTGAAAGAGCGAATAGCTGAGTTTATGTTTGCGGAGCATCTTGTCCAATGTTATCCGTCACGTGTTGCTGCCACAAGGGGTACGTGAAGTTGGTCGTCAACTTGGACTTGGCAGAAAGAGGCAGTCATCTGGTCTCGGCGCATCGCATCTACAGTCGCACTTTCAAGGGAGTCACGTTGAGGGGGTAACCGCGAGGGGTTCTATATGCAAAGAAGTTCTCATTGCTGCTCTAGACATGAATGTAGCCATTCTAAAAGCACGTGTATGCAAAACATACATATATGTACATCAAACATACAATCCCTCACGTAGGGATAGACCCGTCGCTTCTTAGCGCCAGCTTGTGCACCCCAAGATTGACGCCTCCCTCCCGATGTCGTTTAGCCAGAAAAGGACAATAGTGGAATGCGCTCGCTAGCCCGCGCCGTTGCCGACCGCAAGGCGCGGCTAGTAATCTGCCTCAGGAGCGGGTTCGCCACGCGGTGGCCTAGACGCGATACCCGTCCAATGATCCTCTGCACGGCTTGCCGAGTCACCTGAGTAAGCGAGCTTGTGACCCGGCTCAGAGCAGCGGTCACAGCCTCAGCAACAGAGCCGACTTCAGTGCTGATTCCGAGACTGGTAGCGACCGAGGCAATGAGCGCTGCCCCGTCGCCCGTCGTGAAAAAGGCGACGGTGACGGCAGTGACGGGGACGCCAATGGCGACCGCAAGGGTCGTGCTGTCCTCGGAGTCCTTTTGCTCTGATGGGGGGGTTGTTGACGGCGGCGTCTTGTCAGGTGGTGAGCCGGCGGGAGCGGGCTGGCCGATGGCAGCCAGTACCTTTTTGCAGACGTCTATAAACATGGCCTTGTAAGCGGTGGCTTTGGCAGTATGCATGGATTGTGACGCTTCACGTACCTTGGTCTGCTCGAGCTTTGAGTCGTCGGCTGCTGCGCGGCTTGTCGGGCAGGCATGAGGTGAATCGGATTTGCGCCGTGGCCATTTCCCGCAGAACGTTTATAGCAAGGGGAAAGGTGCGCTCGAGAAGCCGGTATACTTGGGGATAATTTTGCTGCAGAGATTGGATACCGGCGTCCAGATAGGTGCGGAGTTGCTGCTCTGCGATGTTGAATTGCTGCTGCACTTGTTCAACGAACCGCGGCCATGAGCTCTGGTCCAGTTCCGGCGCGGGCTCTGCAACGATGATATTAGCATTGACGAGACTAGACACAGTGAGTGCTGTAGCCATGGAGGGTTTCCCATACCGGTAGGTGGTTGAGTCTCATTTAGACCGTCTTGATCCGATGCAAAACCTGGCATGTTGTTATGTACGCTGGGCTCAAAGCACATGTCCTTTACGATATCCTCGCTTGCCAAATACTCGCTTAATTCGTTTTCTGGCACTTCATCAAAGACTTGAAGCAACTCAGACACGCCTTCGTTACAGCGCGTAGCGTCTGTTGCCGTGTTGGCTGGCGGCTGGTCGGCCGGGCGTGCAGTGCAAAGAGCTTGCTGAACGTCGGGAACCACCTCGGATAACAGCAATTTCTTGCCCTTGGATTTGGCCCGGGTTGGCTCCAATGCTTTCGAGACATGTTGTTGGCAGAGGCCGCTGGGTCCTGCGACAGGCTCAGACGTTGGTGGTGAGTCGGCGGTAGGCGCAGGGCAGTTTAGGTACGCGTCGATAGCAAACCATTGAAATGTATCTGCATTACCCAGCGCTTGGTCGCGGGTAAGCTGTGTCGACTCGAATCTTCCATACCTGTGGTCTACCACAAGACTCGACGACAGGGCGTGTGAGAATTCATGGATAAGCACGCCAGCGAGACTACGCTCGCCGCAACGCTTTGGTTTGACGGGCCTTGCGAGAGCGGCAGGGCAAAGTGTGACGGTGTCTGTTCCTCTGGTGAAGTAGGCGACGGTGTTTGGGTCCTCGGGATTGGGACATTGAGCATCTGCTGCATCACAGGAGATGGTCAGCAGCCCATCTTTGCCGTCTTTGCACTCTTGTGCAATGTCGTCGTACAAAGTGGCAATTCTGTTTCGGAATGCCTGGTCTGACGTGTGGAAGTAAGTTTCGAGCCGTGCTGCGTCCCCAGTACGGGCTGCTGCGGCCGCTGCCTTGGCAATTTTTCGGCAAACGTCGAGGGCTTTCTTGATGTCTTTTTTCTGCTTTGAGTCGCACTTTGGGTCGACTTTGGCGCGCGCCTTCAAGTAGGAATGAGTATTCGAACGAGGAGAAGTCCCTACCGCAGCACCCTGGCCAGGTGGAATGGGTGGCGCAAGCGCAGCGGCCAAAGTTGCGCCAGAAAACAGGATCAAGCTAGAAAACTTCATGACGATCTCTGGTAAGTATATGTAACAAGAAAGATTTCTTTGGCAATACCAAGGGCATAATTTTGTGATGCGGCGGGAATAGGGCCTATTATAATCATCCATATGTCTGGTATAGTTTAAATTAGGGTGGCCCTATCGAGAATAGCTTGAGGCCGTGCCTGTCATGGCAGACACCAATTGAGTAGGTGATCAATACCATACTCGGAGCAAACGAATGTTGAAGTGCCGACAATAATTTCATCGCAATATGGAGCATAAACGCCAAGCATGTCACGATTCAGCCAAGTCGGCAGTGCCCATGATTCCATGACATCAATGACAACTTGATCACGCGACCAGTTGCCATTACAAGTGGTCTTGAGACTGGAGCCTAGAGACCCCGGTTTGCGTCCCCTGCCCCAGGGTACATTTTGATCCGGCTTGACTAATTGATCATGCCGCTGGCAGGTCTATACGGCAGAACTGCATAAACTACCAGGCCTATAACTCGCAAGGCTGAGGCATAAACACTAAATCGCCACGGCCATAATCGGACATCCATCTGAACTCCCACTCGGCCCATTCCATGACACGTTCACCCAGCTACAAAAGTGAAACCCAGTTGCTCAGCCTCACCAAGCGCATCTTGGTGTCAGGGAAGCCGCGTTGAATTTCATTGCAAGGAGGGCATTACTCCATTTCCATGAAATCCATACGCGCGCTAATGGGCACATTTCCCGCGCACGAGAGCTCATACACATGCAGCTTTATGCCTTCAACAGGTTAGATTCACCTTGGGGCACACGAGTCAGCAAACTACCCAACAGACACCTTCCTTGTTCTCATGCTATGTCATGGAAAGGCGCACAGCATCGGCCCCTCCGTAGATGCCGACGACACTCGACACGCAACCCTCTTAGAGCTGCCATATGTATATATATACAACTATATATGTATATACTCCGTATAAGGGGAAGAGCTATCTGCCAAACTCGCTTCATTCCTTTTGCATCGGCCTTCCCCTCCCCTACTTCTCTTGTCTGCTTGGAAATCTTGACATTATACACACGTGGGTTGGCTTCGTTTTCCCAGAACAATGCGTCCTCTTCTCGTCGCTGCACTCTTTGCGGCCGCCTCAAACGGCCAATTACTTGGCTTGTTTGACACAGTGTTCCCAGGCCATGGCCAGGAGCAGCCCAGCGTGACTACGGGTTCCGAATCTCGCGTTCCCGTGGGAAAACGTGCAGACTCGGCCATTATGAAGATTAAAAAAATTCCGCACGAAGACCTGGAAAAGGCAAAGAAAATCGCGTCCTTGGCCCTCAAGCAGGCGGACCAACTCAAGAGATATCGCGACACCGTCAATGGCCTCGAGAAGGAGACATCTAGCGCTCAAACATGCTATGACAACTACCAGAAGAAGAGCCAACAGGCTCTCAACGACCCGCTTAGCATTGGTGACTGCGACAAGAAATACTTTCAAGTCCAGTCTCTGCTCGGAAAGGCCCGCAGCATAAGTGAAGAGCGTGATTTTCCCGATAGCTCCTGGATCTATGACGTGAAGCTACCGGATGTGCGCGACGGCCGCACCAGTCTGCAAGGCGAGGAAACAAAACAGCTGCAGGACATCCTCCAGGCCTTGACAAAGATTGCCGGACAGGCAGTGACAATCCAAAAGCAGGCGGAGCGGCTGCAAGACTACCACAGCAAAATGCAGGGCCTCGACGCCGCCATCTCAGAGAACAAGAAGTGCTACAGCGCGTTTTACGAAAAGGCCAAGAAGGACGGAGTCGAGTCGGTGGAGGCCCTCGAGGCCGCCATGAAGCCTTGCAACGAGGGCTACGCCCAAGTCCAGGCCAAGCTCGGCGAAGCTCAGAAACTCGCCAAGGAGGCCGACTTCCCGGGCGCAGACGTCCTGGCGCGTTTCGAGCTGCCCAACCTGCGCGATGGCTTTGAGAGCAGCCAGGATGCCGAGACGCAAAAGTACTGGCAGGAGCTCGAGGAACTTACAAAGGCAAAGGACGGCACGGCTGAGGTGATAAAGGAGGACAGCAAGGAGGCAAAAGAGCTTGATGCAGCCGTCGCTGGGGAAATAGACTCGGTTGTAAACGCGACGCTGCACAACTGGGTCAAGTATGTGGCACTCCAGGAGGTGAAGAACGGAGCATCGGCTGAGGCGGCTATGAAGTCGGCCAAGGAGCAGGGGGCTAAGTTTATACAGGAGTTGCTGAAGAAGTCGGATGAAATAGCTGATAGTGCCATCAAAGACCTTCCCGAGAGGTAGATGCTAAAATAGTAGTGACAGCTTGCACTTTAGAGTGGTGGTGCAAGGCGTACAATTAGCCGAGGCTACAAGTTTCCAGTTAACAATAAGGCAGTCGCTGAACAATCAAGTATTTACAATTATATATTTATTGCGTTATTTACGTTAGTAGTATTGACTGGAGTTATGTGATTTTGTGGCTATTCTTATATAGATTTTAAGTAGGAACTTATTAGCTTTTAAGTTTTTAATTTTTGTTTTATTTTAATACTTTTTAAGAGAAATATATATATTAAATACCTATAACTCGTAAATTTACTACGTATATAGGCCTTTTAGGTTTTTAGTATAGCTCAGTATAAGTTATAAGCGTAAAATTTACTTCTGTGGAAATCGAACAGAGGCCACACAGGAGCTCCTGCCGGAGACTGAACTCTGGTACGGAGTACCGTTGACACGCTACGGCTCTCCAGACATGGAATCTCTTTGACAGTCGAGCACCTTGCGGGGGCCCCGCTGCCCCATGGATTGTGGTGGAACAGAGCCAGGACTAAACAGACTTGACGGCATAATAATGTAATTACCGGTTGGCAGCTAAGTGGGGTTTTCCTTTTCCACTTAGTTGCCAACGGGTAATAAAACATGGCTGCTTGTACCTGACAGGGCTATGGGTATAATTAATATTACCTCAATTACTCCGTATAAGCTCGCCCGACTGCCAAGCGCTTAATGCCTAACGTGGCAAATGTCTTTAGCTGCCAAATAGCTCGTGGAGATACTGTGACAGGGGTTTAGGCTAATTAGACGGCGTCGGTTAAATAATATATTTATTTACTATAAAATTATCAGGTAATAAAAGTACTTATAATCTGGTTAGGTATAAATTAATGGCTGGCTTCTTGACCCCTGGCCGGCGGAGAATCAATAGAATCCTGGATCTGGGCTGCGGCTGGGGCGACATGACCAGACACATGGTCGAACTATTTCCCCAGTGTCCACGCATCAACTGCGTGAACATTAGTCGTCGTCAGCTCGAGTGCTGCGCTGCTCATCTGTCCGACGACCAACGAAGAAGGGTCAACTTGTATCTCTGCAACGGACAAGTCGTTGATCTTCTCCCCGACCCAGAGGTGCCCTATGACCTCGTCATTGTGCGAGGCGTCTACACCCACTTTCTGCCTCGGGTCTTTGAAGAATCGGTGGCTCAAGTGTTCAAGAGACTTGCTGAAAAGGGAACCCTGATCATCTCCGACACGTTATACAGGGTGAGGTGGAACGGAGCCAGCCTTTTCTGCCATCGCTAACGTGATCACATGTAGTGCGACCTGGCGACCTACAAGTCTCCTATGCCCGATGCCGTGGATCGTTTGGCCTGTGGTCATCGCAAGTCCCCGGAGTATTTCTCCAATGTACTTGAGAAGAGCGGGTTAACTATACTAGACATGCAAATCATGCCGTTAAATACCAAGGTTATTTACTGGCTCTAAATTGTGCGGCTGAATATTAAATAAAACTTTCCCAACGGTGCCCCCCGGCGCAATCCAGGAGCTGTATGAAGTGGCTATCAACCTTTCTCTTACTTTGGCTGCGAAAAAGGCCTCAGTCTACAGTATTATATTGATGCGAATGCGGCCTGAGTAGTAGTGCTACGCTTTTGATAAGGGAGAACTGCAACTAGCCTAAGAGTATAACAGAGGGCCCGAGATGGTAGATTTTCACATTGCAAATTTTACGCGAAATAGATGTAGTAGAACACATATAAGAAACCGCAACTATTCTTAACCTACTTTGGTCACAGCTCAGAAGACTTCTCCGCATTCCTCCCATTCCCAAAGAGTCTGAGATATGTCAGAACAAGGCTCTTTGCCCTCTCTGTAATAATAAGGATTAACAGTGTAACAGTCCTAGCAAAGTGTATTGACAACTAGGTATATGTAAGGATTCTTTTACACTGACAAGCCCGGCGGAAGGCAAGTCCGCACTGGGATGGAAGGCGGCGGAAGGGGTGCGAGCCGCGAGATGAGCCGCGAGAGGGAGGTATATGGCGAGGCCACCTTGGTGTGGAGGTAAAGGCAGAGAACAAGTGACAGCTCAACTGATTCTTTGACATGTGATTCATGGTCTTGGCCAAGTCGTGGCAAGCCAGTGTCCATGTGACGTAAGTGGACGGCATAGTTCGCACGTTGCCTCGCGATCAAGGCGGCGGCAACCAAGTAGACCTACGCCCAGATATGGAGAGACCATTGCTCTCCTCCTTTCCCCTCTTTCATCATTACCATATCAAAAGAACAAAATGCTCCTTGACGCAGTATTCTTGGGCATTCTTGCCCACCCTGTCGAGAGCCAGCTGACAGAGACCACGCGGCTCTTGTTCCACGGGCAGACAGATAACGCCGGCATACTGTACGCTCTCTGCCCACACAACTTCCAAGAAAGGCAAAAAAGGCAACCTTTTTCGACTTTGACAAAGGGCCGGAGAAGCATGTTGCCTGGCGGTCCAGAACGGGAGGACGCCCAGATCCAGCTGCTCATGGGAGAGGCAGACTGGTGGCGAAAATGGGAATGGCAAGCTGCCTCCGGTGTGTAGTCCATAGTCAAGGAAATGATTCGTTTGAAATAGAAATGATCTTAAAACCGTCACCGCGTAATTTCTCTGCTGACGATTGACAATTGCTGACCTGACGCAATGTAAGCCGTCTACCCTTGTCCAAGCTGCCCAGGCTACCGCTCACAACTCACATTGGGCAATGTACCGCCGCCTGGACACGGCTGCTTGCGGGCTATCCTGCAGCGATGGATCAAGGGCGTGTGCTTAGCAAGCGATGCGTCGTGAAGGCAGTTTTGGCGTGCGGGGCGAAGTCGAGTCTCGTGGTGTTTTAGCAGGCGCGCACACAATTGGAACGGACAATTCGACTGCTGTACCTGTGTAAACGTGTGGGGAATAGATTCCAAGCAGGAAATTCACCTGGCTAACAGGGCAAAAAGGCTGTTTAGTAATTTTCCATTTTTAGGTGGCCGTTTGGGAGCGGCCAAGCGTGAAACCGCTGGGGGACCGGAGAGGCGCACGACAAGAAGAGGTGGTCGCGGCCGTCCCGAGGAGCTGGTAGCAAATAAGGACGTCTGCGGTGCACAGAGATGGGGCGAGGATGAATTTCGGCGGCTAAAATATTATAACTTCTGTCAAGACTTGGAGCTAAAGTGTCTGCAAACAAATCTTGCGACCTGGTTTACAGGTCGTCGTACGCCATGGGATGAGCTGGCTACGTGAACTGGGAGATTCCTTCCTTGGATCTGAACATATCGCGAACCCTCTTTTGTGCTGAGATATTATCATTATAACTGCAAAAGAGCGCTACACAGCAAGGTATGGGCGATATTACGGCTGTCGGCTGTCGGTCGATGCTGATTTAGGCCGCTGGCATTGTATGCCTCATCGTGGTGATAGCCTCAAGGTGGGCTAAGCTCTGGACAGTACGACTTCGGCAACACCGAGTCAAGGACAAGATGGCAAACCGCCAGACTCTCTCTCACCAAAACCAACATATGCGATGCACGATTGATTGCGCCACTTCATCACCTCCACACAAGCCGTCTTGGTGCTGCAAGTCTGATCTAGCTGCAGACACAATGCGATCCAAGGTCAGCACAGCCTCTCCGCTGCAAGGAACACGGGCAATGTCTCGGCCCTGAGTTTTGCAAGCAGGACAGGACTCATTCCCGGCCTGTTCCTTCGCCTACCGCAAATTCGTCAGGCAGACGGCATGACCGCAAAATGAACACGGCCAACATCATCCCGTGTGTGTATTTGCGAGTCGGGGGCCTTCGAGAGATGCTAACAATGGCAGCGGGCGACGCGTCACGCAGCCCTAGTGGCTTGTGCTTTGAAATCCTGCCAATGCTGCAAGTCTAGGACTCTGAGAAAGGTCAACTTAATTAATACAAGAAGATGATGGGGGCCGTTTTTTCAACTCCTGTGTTGTGGCGCGCGGTGGCTGGAGGCTGAGAGGAATGCGGATGAAGCCGTCTGACGGACTGAGAAGCCAGGACCAGGAGTGGGAGGCAGCCCGATTGCTTGTTGCGATAGCATCAGCCATGTTGTGAGGAGATGGTCTGGTGACTGTAACCATTGGGCTCCGTTTATTCCCTCTATTCGGCTTGAAGGATGGCGATAGACCTATTTGATGGTGAGCACTGAGAAGACTGGGGGGGGCGACGCGATAACAAAGGGCAACAGGGCGGGGAACGGTTAGTACGTAGGCCTGGTTGTATTGACTCCAAATTTGCCCACCAGACAGGTCCCTTGGTTCATCGCCGCAGGGAACCCGTTGTCATCGGCATCGCAACAACTGGCCATGCGTCCCGAGATGGAAGCCAAGAGCTGGATACTGGCCCATCTAGGCACTCGGCACATCATCGATGGTTCAAGCGGGGCATTGACGCTTGTTGATGCCGACATGGACGAAGCGTTCGGAAAATCAGGGTTCAAGCAGAAATGTGATTCCAAAATTTGAGCCAGATAATACGACGCAGTGAGCCTCAGTGCGTCAGTGGCGGTCAATAAAAAATCCCGTGTGCCTGGAAGTGACGTCTCTGGGTGCGTGGACAATGAAAATGCGGCACATCCGTACAGAGACGCAGAAAAAGGCAATGACTGCATGGGTCGCCAGCTGCTCGACGCCTCTTGTTCGTGGCTCTGCCTTGTGCATGCACGGGTCTCGTGGTCTCGTCGAGACTATCGGGTCGGATCGCTGGCCGGCTGTGCTCATCCTTTTTTGCTCTCAGGCCTAAGCAGGGAAGGAGCGAGGGACTGCGGTTCTGCCCTCCCCTCCCCTCTCCTCTCCTCTCCTCTCCAGATGTCAACTAGTCCTCTTCTCTCACGACTCCATCGCCGCATCTCCAGATCCCAGACTACCAACCCTTCACCAGGCAGCACTGCCCCCAAGGCTGAAGGCTGATGGCACATGGCATGGGAAGGGCCACACAACCACTCATATGCTCAGCGAGCCATCTTTAGTATCCACCATCTCAGCCTATTTGCCGCCATCCTCCCACTGCAAACCCCATCTTGTCCTTTGTCCCCAAAGGCCCGCCACGGGAACCAATGGCCCGTTGACTAGTTCGGCGAGCCACTCCGCACTTGGACGACTGAGCCAGGGACACTGAGACACTGCGACAGTCGTGGTGGCGAGAGTCTCAAGCCCCATGACCGAATGCAGACTGCACGGCACTAGGGATGCAGGTCTTCGCTGCATTCTGGCGTAGGACCAATCCCCAGGACAGACGACTATTCCCACGGGCCACATCGCCGTGGACGGACTGCCTCCCCGGCGTGAGTCAACTCGCTGAGCCTCATGATGCTGGAGACGACCATCGGCTCCGATATGCCGTCTTTTCGTCGGCTGGTGTGGTCGCGATGAGGGCCATGTTTGAGGAAGCGCCAGACAAAGGTCGCTCAATTATTTGCGCACCAAGATGGGCTCTAAGCATATCCCTCGTCTCCCCATATCCTTTGCTCTGCACCACACTGACAGATGGCCTTGTATTCTGGCCAACGTCATGTTCAACTGACGTGCGGCCTCCCAATAGACACGATGGAAGACGACGCCGCCCCCAAACCAGGCTGTCTATTTTCATCCCCCCAGTCGCCTAGGGCCTCAGCCCTGAGACCCAGGAGTTCGTGTCTGTTTCGAATCCTACAACAAGAACTCAATTGCTGGTTCATATAACTTCTTGGCAAGTTCGATATCATTCCATTCGCCAATCTCCGTACAACGTCTATATGCTTTGCATGTTCGCGCTGGGCTTCCACCAACAGGACGGGGTTGAAAATTGCAAAGAACAGTTTGAAGAAGACGGGGACGGGGAGAAACGGCACCACCATTGGACGGTTGAGGTGATCAGCGCTCCACTTTGGACAGGGAGTCATAATCAAAGACAGCCTTAACAGGCAGAACCGAACTAGGGTGTGGGATCTAACACAACTTGACAACTTAGGACAGGACGGGGGTGTGTTGAGAGAGGAAACCAAACAGCCAAACCGTCGATCCCTGTCAAAGGCGACCCATGTCCAGCCCACCACACCTGTCGGATTTTGCTGCCATCTTCCACTTACACCATCCGTCACCCATGATTTCCTCCTTCATTATAAACAGGTGTGATGCCGCCCATCTCGGATTTCAGGCAGCTACAACTTCCCTCCTCATACCGCATCCTCAGGCATCTTATTCAATTCCGAAAAAACATTGTTGCAAGGCACAATCCTGACTACCGATAAGTCTACAAGACCGCGGAAGCACATCTTTTCCAATTGCACCAACTTGTTCAGCTGGCCCACATTGACTGTTCAGCTCATCACAAAGAAAAGGTCTCCCCCATATATATATCACGTCGACTGCTTCTCCCTCGACTAAAATAGTTCCTCCTCTGTTCACTTCATCATCAACGAACAGTCCTCAAAGTCTCCTCTTATTCACCGGGGCATCTGCACCCCTACACCTGAAGACAAATAGTCTATTGAAGGCGCCTTTGATTCGGGAACAGCCCCTGAACATACTTGCGCCAGTCGCCCCCATACGTTCACGGCCATTACAATGTGCACCACCAATTGCTATACATACGTTTACCCAGACGGCCACAGGGAGACTATAAAGCAGCCCTCGCTCTGCCCCTCGTCCCGCCATGGCCAGCCGTGCTCCCAGAACATCGTTTTCAAGCACGACGCACAGTCCGTTTCATATGGTCACCCAGTTGCTCCTGCCTTTGTGAGCCCAGCTACCTACGCACCTCAATACTATAGCAACTATCCACCGACTCCTACTTATTCTCCTCGCGCCTCCACTCCTACATACCGCTCCGGTGACGAGTCGGACCGATCATACCACAGCGCAAGCCGCAGTAGGCGGAGAAGCGTCTACACGACCCCGAGAATGGAATCCAGCTCTAGACGCTATGAACAGAACGGACGAACCGTACTTGTCCACAACCCGCCAACCCCGTCAACACCGCCTCCAGCATTTACATTTCCTCGGACTGCACCTTCGTCTCCGAGCTTTGCAAACGCCGCGCCGTACATTGTGGACACATCCCCTCGCGGAGCTTCGTCCAGACGACCAATGATCGTGGACGAGCGGCCACGCCATGGCCAGGATGCTGCGCGCATTCACATTGAATTCCATGACGGCGGACGAAAGAAGAAACACCGTCGTCAGACTCCTTCCACCAGCTCATACGACAGCCGACACTCGTATACCAGCGCCTCGGAGAATGACGAGGTGCGCCGGCGTCGACATGAGGACGAGGCCGCTCGCAGTGAGACGCGCCGGATGACACAAGAAGAGGAAATTCGCCAGCAGAGGCTTCGTGCTCGCATTGCCAAAGCCAACGCGGAAATTGCCAGCCGGGAGGCAGTTCCTCTGCCCCCTACTCTGAAGCGATCATCCACGGCCGCCAAGGCCACCCACCACTTGGGGGACCGAGAGAAGGAACTGATTGAGAGGATTCAGACTCTTGAAATTAAGGAGCAGGCCCGACAGGACCGAGGTCGCTCTTCCAAGCGTGATGATGATGCCCAGAAGGAGAGGCTGATGGAGCGAATGTTGCCGCGACGCCGAGCTACAGTCGGGCCCGGGAGCCGGCGACCTCGCGTTGAATACACAGATGGAGTATACCGATGGGAGTGATGCACACACTTGAGTTTGTACAACATGGAACTACTCTTGACTTGGTACTGTGATGTTTGACAGTTTTAGGACAACAGGACTTGAAAGCGAGCTATTTAGAATTTGAGATACCTAGAAACAGACAGGGAAAGGATAGACATGAAATGAAAAAGAGATGAACTTTTCATGAGTGTTGATGTGTTCATACTCTTCTAGATTTTGTCCATAGTTCGAATGTGAAGGTGCAAGCAATAAAGCGTACCCTAAAGCGCCAAGAGACATGACACCAGCGGCGACCAAACCTATGTCGTCACTCAGTCGGAACCCCAGTGACAATTTGTCCCGAAGCCTCAGGCCAGAGTCACGACAAAGAATCCAACTTGGCCATGGCCAGTCGCAGCAATCAATCACTCACCTCAACGCACACCTCCGCGCACGCCCCGTGCCCAAAATGCAGGATGCCTTTTCTGCAGTGTTACCCACACAACGCACACAAACACAAATGGCATCCAATCGGCAGGCCCTGGCGCCATTGACTCACAAACCTACAGGGCCTTTGTCACCCGTGATCTTGCGTTTCGCAGCCGTTTCTTGCCGGCACATTTTTTTTTTCCCGCAACAATCGAGACCCTGATCCAGGGCTTTTTCTTTTGTTTGGCCGCCGCACCGGGTGATGCCTATCGATAAGCCGCGGGGCATCGAGGCATCAGTGCTACGACATGGAAGCTTCAATGTTTTGCAGAAACTTGCATAGCGGGGCACGCTGCTGCCTGTGCGAGGCAGCCGAGCATTGAAGTGGAAAAAGTGGCCGGTCCTTGCTTGGTTTGCCCGGCGTCAAGTGTGGCCAACTTGACTTCTTTATTGATGATTCAGGGATGTCTGTTGCAACGGAGTGAATGGCTGCGTGCACGGGCGTTGCAAGCGCTTGCGGGTCGCGATGGCGGTTTGTGCCATTGCCTTTTGATAAGATGGATTTGTGCAACGCCTGCTTTGTTTAGTGTTTCTTTATTTGTGCGAGACACGCTGTGCGTTTGTGCGAGGTGGTGTCACACTGTCGGGGGTTTTGCACCTGTGACACATGGGGGACGGGTCCGGTGAAAATGAGGGGCGTGGATTCTGGAATCTGGATGTTACAACATTAATTGACATGAGTTGTAGATGAATACACTGACTGGTCTAAATTATGCGAAAGCTATTGACTCCTCCCATTCATAAGTGAGGCAACTAGTTGGCAGGAAAAGGGTATTTTTACAAAAGTAGTCGATCAATTAGAAGTTGTAAAAGTCGCACCCGTGCAAGAGTCGCGCAAGTAGCAATTCTCTTCATCTCCGCCCTCCTGCGCCAAAGTTGGTCTCAGATGACGTAATGAGGATAATAGGTTCGAATAAAACCATTGACCGACTAGAGAATGAACTCAGCAGGTGATGCAGCCCCCTACACGGCCGCTACCGTACAGTCACATCGATTTTCATAGAAGCTCAAGATCCGGCCATGCTGCTGGATCTGCGACACGGAAGCCTCCCGAATCTTGCATTTTGGTGTTGAAAGCCGTATGCGCGTAGAGCCGCATTGCGGAATCACCTCGAGGACCATCTGAAGCTTGCTAACGGCGGAGCGGTCCAGTGTCCTGAAGGTTTTCAGGTGTGTGACAGCCTATTAGATTTTAAAGCCTACGCTGCTCGTGAACACGGGAAGAGCTTTCGACCGGAGGATTCGTTTGCTGGGGAGAATAGTTAGACCATCTGACATCTACAAGACACATCGTCTCATATTTGCGCGTCGTGACAAATCCAGGCGCGGCTGGAGCATTTATCTGATGTTGTCACTCGGACAGGCTCTTTGGCCCTCCTAAGCAAAGGAAGGAGGAAAATCAAGGTTATCACACAGAGGGTGCTCTGTGAAGCTTTAGAAAACTAGCTGGGACTACCAGTCGAGACACTAGTTGAGATAGAGAGGTCTGTCTTATTAAATAAATGGCTAACCCTTATAGGCGTAAGTCTTGCCTGAACAAAGCAAAGCCTAAGCTCGGAAATCGGTCCGTATAGAACAAACACGTCCTGAAAACTTTGGAATGGCATAGTAAATGTACGTTAATCGAGAGATGCCGGGACGTTGGTGTATTTGTACACTAAGACAGGATTCCAGTGATGAATTCTTTGTACTCAAAGGCAGGCAAAGGATGCTTACTTGACTGAGCAAGCGCTATGTGAGCTGGCTCAAGTAGATGAGATGTTGCATGATTCTTAGGTTGCACTTTAATTTATGCTTAGCACTACAAGAGTTTTAATCTGGTCGTAGTTCCATTTTTCTTTTCCCGCAATGGATATTTCATAAGATATTTCCATAACAATCTGTCCTCAGTAGAAGTCCAGACTTTGACAGAGGTAATGTAATAAGCTGTTTGACGAGGGACGTGAGCATGTGCAGCTAATAGAGGTACCAGCTACTAGGCGTTGGTAGCAAAGTGCTTCGGCGCGCATAGTCTTTACCATGGATGCAAAAAGTGTTTATAACGAGCCTTTACTTGATCTCCTACGGTTAGACTCTAAATATTAAACAAACGTCCCTATAATAAGCAAATCTTGAAAAGGCAAAGAGTCTTATATGTGATTACTATTATTCCTGTTGGCAGGCAATCACACAAATTCACCCGTACATTATATGGTAAAACAAAGTGCACGGGTTTCCCTCCCATTTCCATAGAACCTATCCAACACGTCGACATATTAACCGAATAAGGCAATCTGATGGAGAGTTGCAGATCCCTTTACAAGACAAGACCACAGACAGCCAAGGCCAGGGCACCAGCGCCCTGCAGAAACGAGGCACCCGCGGTCACGACGGGAGGCTGGGCAGTCGTGCTGCTGCTGTTGATGACTGGCTTGCCATCAGGACCAAGGAGATAGAAGCAGCCGTCGATTTGACCACAGGTCTGCCCGCCTCCATACTGGTGAGCCGGGTTGCAGCTAAATCGTCCTTGGCTATCAGTCGAGCCAGTGGAGGGGCAGGCTGCAGCAGTCTCGGAAGGCTCAGCCGGGCTGTTGATGACAGGCTTGCCATCAGGACCGAGGAGATAGAAGCAGCCGTCGATTTGCTCACAGGTCTGCCCGCCTCCATACTGGTGAGCCGGGTTGCAGCTAAATCGTCCTTGGCTATCAGTCGAGCCGGTGGAGGGGCACTCTGCGGCCACAATGCTGGCGCCGACAAGAGTTGCAATCAGTGAGGCCTTCATTTTGGATACGCCGGGTCAGTTATTCTGCAAAAGTGTGAATAATTCCGTTCAGGAGAGACTGCGAGGAGTTTGGTTCGTAAACTTGAATCGATGGCCGACAAGCCGTGGCCAAGGCGTACTTATATATACCTGCTCGACGACCCCTCGACTGGTTCTCGCATGCTCTCCGCGTTTGGAGAAATGCCGGTCCTGGAGAGGCGAAGCCGCCCCATGGCTTGATCGATGTCGTCTTACTGAAGTGCTCCGGCAAAACGGCAGGTAGTGATGTAACGTAGCCACGGCCATGACTGGTCGTCTTCCGAAAACAATCTAGATAGAAAGTTGGACGGCCCAATAAAACCCAGTCTGCCAGTATATATTCCGTTTGTTTTGGACAGTCGTGGGTAGCATAATATGCTTCCGTCCCAAGTCAGTCTGGTGTCTTGGATTAACAACACTCAGAGCCATCGAAAGAGAGACAAAGGGCCAACAGTGTATTCCGTATTCCAGAGCTGGTTGAAACCGTTATTCCTTTTGCGTAGATTGTCTCACTCTGTAATGTCTTGTTTCGGAGCACTTTTTTCCGCAAGCAGTCTGTTTACAATTTTTACTACAATGTTTCATTTGAGAATACGAGGCAGGCCCGTCAGTATTGTCCCCATTAGAATTTTCATATGATGCATAAAAATATAGACTAGTTGCAGAATCCAGGCTCGGTTACGTTTTGCTTGGCCCTGAAAATCGGGCTGAGTGAGGATTCGTATCACCTATCCATTTGCTCTGCGTCAATGAAGCTACATGTATCCACTTTCAATGTCAGAGCGGAAACCGTGTAGTATCGAACGGATGCTCCAATGTCAGATAATTAAGGGCCGCAAAAAGGTCGAGTATCATGGCAGCTGTATCGAAGGATAATCGTCTAAGGAGCATCGTAATTATATAAAAGAGATTACAGTAATTATTGAGGGACCCCTGTGGCTGGAAGTCCAATAACGTATCCACATTATCTCGATCAGGCAAATTGTGCTGACTGCGAAATGGATTACAAATTTTAATTTTACCCATAGGGTTGGAGATGTTTTCTTGGCCGCAAAAAAAACCAGTACAAAATAAGGCTATTATAAGATAGCATTATAACGAAGTATAAATTTTGGGCTGTCGTATTGTAGGTGGGATACAGTCTTTTCAAGATATTAATCCTGCAATCTTGCCGCGTTGGCCGAACTGATATAACCTAAAGACTGAAGGGGACGCATTGTAGAAATGTGGATCTGCCCGGGCAAGTGCCTATCCCCACTTTAATTGGATTTGGCAACGGCTTACCCACCACCGCCCAAAGTGGGAGGGGGCGATTTGAGCTGAGGCCCAGACAGTGACGTTGATTCGCGACAAATGCAAATCTGCCCAAGTGAACTCGAAACAAATTTAAATTTGCCGTTTAGAATTTAAGTAAAATCTAACCGGGGCCACTAGCGAACTCCCTTCCGTCTTATGCATTGTGGCAGAGAAGAAGACACGAATTCAGTCGTCACTACGACTGAGTGCAAGCACCAGACGTTTTGCAGAAGCGAGCGCATTCCTGTTCTCCTGCTGCTCTCCATAGACATTGACCTTATGTTAATTCGGCTATCCATTTGACTCAACTTCTTATGTTTGAAGTATGTTGCTGTTATTTTCATTTCGTTTGCCATCGTAAGTGCCAGAGATGACCTCCGGGGGCCTGTGACAATTCATCATCTGTTCCATGAGATCTTTTGGCCGACCCTGGCCTCTATGTCGACCACAAAACCAATGTTTTGATCTGCTTTACACTTGAATTTGGAGGTGGGATGTAATGGTTCACGAGTTACGACGCATATCCGTGGCAAGCATAAAGTACCATACGAAGCTATAAAAAAAGTGAGGTGGGACGTAGTTTCTCAGGTCTTAACCAACACCAACACCAACACCCCCAGCGCCCCCCCGGGGCCCCTTCTTCCTTCAATCCGGATCAGCTGCATCTCTCGAGGATAGCATCTCCAGCGCAAGTTCCTTGGGCCCTCAAGTTGGGCTTGCATATGGTGGGTGCGACTTCTGGGTTGTCGAGGACAATTACAAAATTCATGCAATCAATTCCAATGTACAATGGTAGTAGTTATCCCACACGTCAAAGACAACAGTCACAATGGCACTCGATCGGCAAAACGGCGTTGCTGAGCCAAGTCATGTAACTCTCTGACCAAGAAAACTGAGAGGGGTGCATGTTGTCGGACAAGGTCGCCTCTGTTGATAGAACAAGCGCACTTGACGTAATTGCCGGATGTCATGAAATCATCGACATCATTTGAGAGGCAGGCCAGTCACTTGATGAGATCAGGATGGCGGGAAGGTTTCTCAACTCAGATAGACGGCATGAATCCTTCTGAAGGATAGAGAGGGACAACGAACATGAATAAGGATTTTATTAAGCCGCTTAGTTGTCTGATGACGTGAGAAGTGTAACCACCCTCGGAGAGACCATGACTAAGAGCCTAGAGTAGTGTAGAGTTCTGCAGCGGAAACACGCTCATGTGTGACAAACTCAATGTGGCTGGATTAGAGTTTCATCTCCAACGAGTCCACCAAGTTGGACCGAAACCCAAATCAGACCAGAACAACACGTCGTTAATATGCTATTATGAATACGTGGCACTCTTTATCATGACTTCTTCCATTTCTGAATACTCTACGTCAAAATCACTGCGTGTTCCAAGTCTGAGGGTCGCAGTCCTTTCATCTAACTAGATCCGAGGCTTGTATTGACCAGGCCTTGTTGGCAACCCCCTCGAATAAAACGTATCCAGTCAGAGGTTAAATTTATGGAAGAGCTAGGCCCAGACCAAGGTTAGGTTCAGAAAACTCTGGTTGAGGAGATGGAATCCAACCCTAACATATTAATTGCAACCCTACATTCTCACCTCCCAGGAATACCCACCCAGCCCTAGGAGAATCGCACAGCACCCCGTGGCAGCATTGCTCTGCGAAAACCCGTATTTCGTCCAGGGGGGGCATAGTTGTAGTGTTGGTCTGCACTGAGTTACGAATAACGCGAGCATTGTATTGGTGAATGTAGTGTTGCGCCTATTCCTGCAAGTCCCCGTGGGGTCAGTGGACAGAGCTGTCAGATAAGGCTGCCACTGCTTATTGAACAAGCAGACTTGGTGGAATTGCCGGATGTCTTAAGAGTATAGATGTCAGAAGGTTGGAAGGAAATCAGGGTGGCTGAACAGCCTTCTAAAGTAAGATAAATGACATGAACCCTTCTGGAGTACAGGAGGAGGATCAACAAACCTTGTGCCGGCCGACTGAGAGTAAAAAGGGTGCTGGCAAGAAGAGGGTGTTTCATTTTAATCAGATCAAGGATGCTAGAGGAGATTTTGAGTTCTGAGTGTGAGCTTACTCTATGGAATGTCTCGGGCAGATTTCACGTGACGGAATGGGATGCCATGTAATGTCGCTCTGGTGCCGTATCCTCTTGCCCTCATTTGCGTTGACTGCGAGTAAGAAGGGGATTTGTTACGGAATTGAAAATCTGGGCTCGTCAGGACGTCCGGTTCCGTGCACAAGAGATTAATTATATGAGTGGTGTCTGGTACCATATTATAGATATCCGAGATGTCAACTCTGGCACCACTTCGTACACTAACCAGACCAAACGTCAAGTTTTTCATATCTAGTGGCGCATGAATTTTAACCGTCACATTGTCATTCACCCCCTCCTTTGTTTGTTAACTATTTCTCTTCTTCATCACAGTTTCTAGGCTTCTTGAGAAAACCCTGCCCATAATGGACTCACAGGATGCGGAAGAGTACGCGGGGTATACAGAACTTGATGCCGTGTCATAAATTGACTAACCTAAAGACTTAGGCCTGTCCTGTCTGAAGAGACAAAGGAATTGTTGGCAAATGAACCAGTGGGGTCTTGCGCAGAGGGGGCTACATGGATCTCTCCATATCGTCTTCTCTTGCCAGGAGAGCAACAAAGCCCCAATGCGATAAGTCGTGTGGATAGTAGGCCCCATAAACCCCGTAGGTTCACCCCCAGCTCCATGTATAAGTTGTCCGTCATAGACGGAAAGATTGGCGAGGACTAGGCCGCCTAACGATGCTTGAGACTTTGTTTTCGAGTTCGCAGAGCATGGATTCCTAGGAGACCAAATTAATCTCAAGTACATGAAGCCCAAGAGCGGCACGGATTCGACGCCTGATGGGAAGGAAGTAGAGCTGCGGGCTTTTAAGCTTCCTCTCCTTAAACTTGGCCAGGGTAACGTCTTGAAACTTACATACGGCCAAATTTCTGCATTAGCAGGAGATTTCTACGGAACCTTAAATCCTATTAGTTCCGTGAAATCAGACGCTGAAAGAAAAAAGTTTTTCTTTGATGCATATCATACTCTAGCGAACAACCCACAAGACCAACCTAAGGATGCACGGAACCTACTGGGTTACCTTCAGAAGGAAATAGACGAGGTACAAAAGCTTTATGACGCAAAGAAAAACCCGTCAGAATACTACAAGGAAGGCACAGGCCTTGCTGGTATAGAAGCAATTGATAAGCTTATTAAAGGTCGCCACTTTCCGGGATATAAGGATCTCCTTCTAATTAACTGGGATCACTTCGGAGATGACGCCCGCACTGCCTATACCACCGGTCATTCAGCCGCTATTAGCTGGGCTGCTAGCGGACAGTGGACGGTTGATCGTCTTGTAGAGGCATATGCAATAAACTCATTTGCCGACCACTATCTGCAAGACCTCTTTTCCGCTGGCCATCTTCGCACGCCACGCCGTGTGCTGCACGGGTATCTAGGGTTGGCTGATGCCCTTGCAAATGTACCGCATATCCAACCCCCGATCCCCTCTGCTCTCATAATGGATCAAGGCTGACGACCGCGACTAGATGATGCACGATGAGGACTGCGCGCTGGGACTCAAGGTCGCTAATAAAAACAGCTCGTGGCAAGCGTATGGAGATAAACGCTTGTTGGACAGTGTGAACAAGGAGAATCTCCTTCAATGCCAAACCGCCATGGTAATATCTGCGCAAGAAGTTTACTCTGCCTGGAAAAACCGCAAGGAAATTGCTTCATCCGACTTTGAGGTATGGAAGACGGTGCCCACCTGTTACACGGAAATGGCTGGTTACACAAGGGCTACGGTCACGAGACCTAGGGCAAAGTCCCTCACCGACTTCTTGTATAAATAGACGGCTTTGGTCCCTCAAGGCCTTGAGGAAAACCAAGGACCTTTGATACCAAAGACTGTTATTAGTTGAATTGAGCTAAATTGCTCCAAGCCCTCTTTCCGAGCCCTTGTCACACCACCAAGGAGTCAGCCATGGGCGGGCAAATTGTTGCACCGCTGTTCAAGTTGGGCAAAAGCGGCGAGTGGGGTGATCTTGAGCGACGTAGGTCGTTGAAGGACAGAAGGAAATGGCAATTTACGACGGGGTGGACGACTGCCGGAACTCTAGCAGACAAATATGCCAGCGGGCTATGGAAGTATCCAATGCACGTGTAGTAGTTGTAGTTGGTAGTGTCTGACACGGCACTAGGCGTTGGGGAGAGCACACAAAACACTGGTTCTGGTGGTGCATTTGTGAAAAGTGTCCGGTGATAATTTGGGAATATTTCAATGTTCGCAGTATGCTGTTTTTTGCAGTCTCTGGGAATGGAGGAGTGCTGTGGTCGTTGTATGGAGTTGTCCACCGGGAGTTTCAGCTCGGCCGACCATGAGCGGGTTCCTATCTTTAACCATAGAAACTTGGGTATTGAAACCCATTCACATTACACTAGAAGCAAGACAAGTCGCCTGTGAGCCCGGCTTCCAAAAGATTCAAGTATGTGCAAGTACGGTGATGTCAGGAGAGTTTTCACAATAGCAGAGTGCCTAAGGAGATAGCGTTTTTAGCCTTATAATAAACTAGTAACTAACTAGGTATAAAATAATAACTTTA